GGCAGGAACACTCAAAGAACACTGCAAACCAGCCCACAAGAAAAAACCCATTAAAGGAAATTTAAGGGCAATAACTAGCCATTTGCAGAACCTTTAGACCAGAACTAGCAAATGTAGAAACAGACATATTCAGGGTTATTCACAAAAGGGTGAGCGTGGAGAAGGCAGAAGAAGTGAACAATCTAGGACAAAATAGCTGATTTGGAAAAATTCTCCAATTCGGCTCACTTTCCAGTTCAGCTATGCTGGTCTAGATTGTTCACTTCTCCTGCCTTCTCCAAACTCTTCACCCTTTTGTGAATAACCCTGATTGACTTTGTAAAACCAGAGAAAGTACCGTGCAGGGAATTCATTAAAACTGGAGCAGACAGAATCTGGAGAAGTTGCCCATGGCAACCAATCAGCTTCTATTTTTCATTTTCAAAGCGTAACTGAACAAACTGAAGAGAGAGGCCGATTGGTTGCCATGCACAACTGCTCCAGATTTTGTCTGCTCCAGTTTTGATAAATTCCCTCCTCTGAATGTTCACAAGACCGGTATTTGTGATACCGATAGAGATAGGGAAAAATAACTTCTTTTTAAAAAAAACTTTTTAGATTGCTTTAACTCTTTCACTGTCATGTACATAAGTACTAGCCTACCCCGGTAAACTGACTCTTGGCTGCTGGAGTCAGTTTACTTACATTCATCCCGGCTGTGTGCTGGAAGTGATTCTGGTGGCTGTAGAGCCGCCTGATCACTTTCAGCAGCCTGCAGCATGCCCCTCCCCCCTGGCAGGCCACTCTCTGCCATGTATTTTGGGCTACATTACCCCTCCTGCAGGCCCAGGAGGGCCATGGTAGCTACAGGGGAGGGAGCTCAGCTGACATATGTTTGCCAATCTCTCCATCCAAAGAATCTGGACGAGACAAGGATTTTGTCACTTCAGGGTTCTGAGCGGTCATTCCACAACCAGGGATGAAGCTAATCAAGCATGATCTAAATTTGATTAGCCTAATTGGGCTACATTAGGGGTCTAATAGGTTTCTAATGTCTCCTTAAAGAGAACCTGTCACCACTAATTACATAGGGGACTTGTTATTTTTTAAAGCCCCCAAATACACTCACATATGAATGTAAACGCATGCACCAGGTGTGGCTACAAATGACATTGAAGATTAGGCAGCATATGTTGGATACCGCTGCCCATGCCAGAGTGACAGAAATCATTTTAGGGTAATTATTTACAGTTAACTCTAAATTGATAACCTGTAGAGGCCAAAATTGTCCATACATTAAAGCGTCATCTATGGACAATTTTGGGTACTATACTTTTTTTCTGCTTCAGGGGTGCAGGCAATTTTGAGGCTTGACATGTTTGGCACCTTATTGAAATGTCATCTTGCAATCTCAACTTTTATATTTTACCAAAAACCTAGTGTTTGTGCACTAAAATTAATTTGAATACATTTTTTTTAGCTGAAAATTTGGGTTTGATAAAACTGTGCTAATATTTTGTGACATAACAAATTGCAACTGCCACTGTTAAATATTTTCTGAAAGCAAAGACCTTAGAAAATAAAACGTTGGGGTGCTTTAAGCAATTTTTTGTGCAGTGTACACTGTCAGCTCATTCACTTCATCTCTAAAATGCCATGAATGGGCCTGATGCTGGGGAAGACTTAACTCCTGTGTGAATGTGCAGGAGTTACATCATCTGTGGCCACCAAATGGGCAAAGAGGATGCCTGGGAATCTCCTGAAGGGGTGGCAGCGGTGATGGTGGCTGCAGGGGACTGAAGTTGCATCACACAATGCTGAAGAAGGGCATACTTGTAAGTTAGGTGTGCCATAATGTGCATGCATGCTGTGCATACTTGCATATTATGGCATAAACCCACCTGGCACACAGCGATTTATTACTGCTTTAAATGACTCATCCCTTTAATCTGGAAGAAGACTGTAACAGAGTAAATACAAAGGTAACAATGTTACTTTCTATCTCTCTCTCTACTGCATTTAAGTGCCAGAAGGTCCATTTTTGACAGCAGCTGCTGTATTTACACCGAAACTCAAAATGACAGCCGGGAATTGTTGCCAAATGCGAGGATGGGAAAAGCTGCATTTGGGTAGAAGGACATGACGTACCACACATGCCTTGTGTACTTTGATAAAGTTTTTCGGACATGTGTAGCACGTCCATTGTCAAAACTGGTTAAATCTTTTACTTCAGTCTGTTGGAATAAATTGAAAATAATGGCATTTGTACCAGGCCATCAGGGTGTTTGCAAACCATCTTGTTGGTAATGGAGCCTAAAACTGATATTCTAAACATCCTCATGGACACTTATGAAAACAAGTGACTCCTTTTTGTAAATCAGACAGTCTCCTCTTTCATCAAAAAATTCCAGCATTTTTTATTACAAACTGGAAACTCAACTGCAACCATAAATCCTAGACAAAGCTTTAAGACTTGCTGAGTTCAGTCTGGACTATGACCTTTGTTCACACTTAGAAAATTATAGTTCTTTTATAATAAGTATGGGGTATTACAGACATATTTACCAGAATGTAACTGTTGTGCAAAAACTTGAATATATATACTTAATTTTGTTACATATTAGATTATTGCATTTTATATACAGATTTGTCAATGCTTCTTTAAGTGGTCATCTGTGTACCAGAAAATATGGTTTTTACTCCAGCTTAAAAGAACCAATCCAGGCAATAAAACTGGAATTGCCAGTGGGAAGTAAGTGTAATGTGTAATTTACACTTTCCTCTGTGAAGTCCATTCTGAGATATAGCTCTCTCCCAAAAGTTGTATTTTAAGGACAGCAGTACCAACAGCTCAATGCTTTTGATCTGTGTTACAGTCCCTGCAGTTTACTGAGTTGATTTAGATGCTGCAATGGAAGTCCATGTTTTTTTGTTTGCATGTAGAATTATTTGACATTTCAAAGTTAAGGCCTTGCAAACACCAGCTTTAGCTTGCATAAGAGCATTTCGTACAGAATGCTTTTACAGAGCAGTTGCATAACTTTCAGCAAGCTTTGAGCAGCATTTGTTCAGGCATTCGAAGCACCCTTCAGCTGGATCAATGAATCCAGAGATGGTGATCTCTTCCTGACTGCATTTAATCATATTACAAATGATTCTATGTGGTGTGCCAGCGTTCTACTGCTTTCAAATGCACCCGCTGTCACCCAATCATTAACTTGAACGGGTGACAGCTGCCACTTGTAAAAGGCAGATTAGGGATTCCTGCTGCAGGAATCCCTAATCACACCTCAAGTTTAGGTGTAAATGAGGACTAAAAATATTGCACACAGAAGAATGTATGAACTGCACTTATTTTAGTACACTGTCCTTCTAAGCAAGTATATGCTACACTGTTGAATGAAGCCCATGAGGCAGGACATAATTGATATATACAATATAATAATAATAATGGTGAAAGATGTGACCAAGATTTTCACAAACTCAGACTGAAGGGGGTGAGGTAAAAATGCAGCAAGGCTCACTTCTTAAACCCAGGAAGATTATATCAGCAGAGCATTGCCAGTAAATCTAATCTGTAATCTCATGAGATCTCAGGGAAAGACATTTTCCTCCCCTGAGATGATGTGCATGGTCACAAGTCCTAGTCACATGTGCTAGAGTTTCAGGAAGTAAAGGGAGAGCTAGTAATCTGCACTTAGTAAACATGGCCACTGTCAGAAGACTGGGGAAGAAAAGAGAAATAAGCATGTGTCTATAGATTGTCATAACTAAACATTTCTAAAGGTGTCTTTGTTGTTATTTTAAAGATATGGGTAAAGTTCTTGTTTAGCATTAGATAGAAGGGAAATATTTTAGTTTTGGAGTTCTCAGAAAAGAGCAAGTAGAAATATAATAAAATATTTCTGATTTGGTTTTTTTATGTTTTTATTTTTAGTTATGCTATGTGAATAGGACCATGTAACAAATATTAAGAAGGTGTTATTCCAGTTTGGCTGGAAAATTGAACACAACTTAACACCAGGAATCAGGAATGGAGGGGTAGCATATTGAGCCATTCTGGGCCCTTTTGCTTTGCAGAGTGCATTCAGTCTCACCTTCCTCTGCCTCACCGCTGGCCATTTCTCCTCGGATCCCCAGTGCCTCAGCCCATACAAACAGGGGAGAGCAGCAGGGATCCGAGGAGAAATAGATACCAGCCTGGAACGGCTCCAGGCAGGGAAGAGAGGCTCCAGATTACAGCGGCTGGCAATTAAGGGCCCCTTAACCCTTTCGCTGCTCCAGATTAAAGGCTTACTGAGCTGGCCAGCTGCAAGTGGTTGTGTTCCACCATAAGCCTTACATTGGTGGCAGCGAAAGGGTTAAGGGGGCCTTAAAATTGCAAATATTTTGGCACTTCTGTGCTTTTAGTTGTTTGCCTAGAGTCCAAATTTAAGAGTACAGAAGCCTGATCACTGAACTAAAATATTTATGCAAAAGTTATGGAAGAAAATAATATAACTATTCAATATCCCACAGACAGCATATTCTCATAAAGCAGTAAATATTTAATATATGCAGGAATAAAGCCACAATTGTTGTTAAGGGGAATATGAGAAGCTTGCGGCTGACACTGCTGCTTTAATATTTCACTTCATTTTCTTCACTAATACCTATCAGTGTCATGTTTGCGTTGGCTCTCAACAGAGGAAGGCCGTCATTGTTGCAAAGCTTAATTTACTCAGTTGAACAAGTTAACAGCTTGGCTGCCTTAACGATTCATAACGTCAGTGTATTATAGTACAGTCGATTAAATTTATTACTTGGCTTGTGGTATCTGGTTATCACGAGCAGCTTGTCTCTGTCTGTGACACACATTTTAGAGACATCAAAGCCAGCAGAGAAAAGGAGGGAACGGAAAGGATATTCCTTTCTGTGAATCAGCTGGACAAAGTCATGTACAAAGGTTATGCTGCATAGCTAGACATAGCCCAAGGGGGTTCAATAAAAATTGTAACCAGAAAACCTGGACTTACATTGTTTTCTCCATTCCTCCACGTTTCAGCTCTCCCAGTTCTGCAATCCTGCGTAGCCCTTGGATTCTCTTCTTCTTGGATCTGCTATGATGAAAACGTAACTTTAATTAAACAGCATGAACAAGAGAGAAAACACCAGGGTGTTTATGAAGTTTAGCTTCTGCTGAGCTTTTTTCAAGATTTTTGTATAATCCTTATAAAAGGATTATAGGTGTAATTCCTGACTGGGAATGCAACATGTTGTTTAATATCACAGGGGTCATGATACCTCTCTGGGGTAACTTGGCAAAATCTTGATTTAAGCCTAACGTATTGCAGGCAGATTGATTTTTATTTTGCATTACAGAGAATAGCGTTTGATCCATGATAAAGTATTTTTTGTTTATAAGGTTATTGTTATGTTTAATCACATTTTCTGTTTTAATTGAGTTCATTGTGTCCACACAAATGAGTTTACACATGCTACAAAAATAAATCCTAAAATGTATTTTTCAGTTTTTTAGCTTCCCTCTTTTTTAACCTATTTTCTTTATCATTATCTTTTTTACTGTGATTTTTATGTCAAGTGCCCCACATTGGGCACAGTGCCTGCCGTGTTTGCAATTATATGCATTCCCTTTTGTTTTTTGCAATCTAGTGCGTTCTGATCAGTACCGGCTATCCTGATGTTGTGGCTCACCTGTATGTTGGTAAGTAGTTCATGCTATCTCCTATAACCCCTGATTTTCCTATGCAGTGTATTGGATTAGTGGCAATGGGGACAATGCCAAACCTAAGGTCTAGCTGGGATCAATTGGGGCAATCAGGGAGCAGGTATTTAAATGTTTGATGTACACATCTGTTTATCCATGTTTGTTAATTTGAAAAAAGAAGGCCTCTGTGTCCCCGAAACATTGCTGCCTTGTGCAGCTACTCTCATGTTGTGGAGGTATGTGTGCAGGGCAAATTGGTACAATATAAACCTGAAAGGGGTTCTAACTCACCACCATCTATGTCAAAGTTTTTGGACAAATGGTACATTTCAATGAATGACTGAACTGTACCTCTAACAAGTAAGGTCATTTATATTCATTATTATTATCAGATTATGCTTTTTTTTATAACTGTACTGTAGCTGTTGTATTTTCCTATAAACTTTCATTTTAGGAGTTTTGTTAAAATGTAAAGGAAAACAATGCGTCATTGAAAAAAGTGTCAAAGGTGAGCTGTAAAATGAAAACAGAAATAAAGTGGCAAATGTTAATAAATAGCTTGCTCATTTTCTGCAAGCTTCCTTGGCGTTTCAGCAGTATGCTTTGGTAGATAATAATTAAACTTATAAGCACCTAATGGAGATCTAATGCATGACATATATTGTGGCTGATGCTGGGAATATTTTAAACACCATAAACTGCAGTATATGTTTAGCTTCATGCTTAGACTGGATTGCACCAATCCATATGAGCTTATTTAATAAAATAGCATGCAAAGAATAGTCATATTGTGTAAAATACAGTAACCAAAAACATCAAACAATCACAATTCATTTTTTAACTTTTTTTTAGAACAGACAGAAAAATAAAAGATGCACACAAAACCGTTACAGTTTATCAATTTAGAGTTAAACTAAAATGATGGTGT